AAAGTCCCAGAAATGCCTTGATATGCAAGATTGTCATAAAACATACTGCCAAGTGAATATTTTGTGCTAAAAACTCATAAAACAGATAAAATAAAATAATATTTTATCTGAATATTTCAAAATATCACAAAACAGGTAAGATTATAGCCTAACCTTCCAGAACAAAGTGCAAAAAAACTCCCTAAAATCCCTCAAGATGGAAGTTTATTTCGCAAAACATGCTGCCAATTGAATATTTTGCAAAAGTGTACTTCATGAACCTAAATAAACATTATTACATTTTGTTTCTCTCAAAAAAATAAATAAACATTTTTTTCTAAATCTGGAAATCCAGTTTTGTCGGTTATAATAATCATGTCATGTATACAGTTTGACAAGAAAAAGTACAACTTTTAGCTTTAACATGGAAGGATAAACAGCACTTCTTACCTGGTGGCGATCTTGAAAGAAATGGCACATGATGCATCATACAGTATAAAGTAAAACTTTACGGAACATACAACTAGATAAAGTGATACGACCGGTACAAAAACGGGTATTTTCTAATTATATCAATAAATGTTTAGCCACTGGGTATGCAACTTTATTAGTAGCGTCCTCGTAACATCGCGCATGCCTTTCAATGCAAAATGTTTGGTCTGCAATTTGCGAAGCAGTTTTGACGGCTTCATTGTCTCATTAGAGAGCCGCTGACCGCGTACTATAGCTGCGTGGGAACAACCTGTCGCAATGAACCCATATTTTATTCTTCTGTCTTCTCACTGGCTCCTTTGTCTTGCGCTAAGAAACTTTCCAAATACGATTCCTTTCTGTATTTGTATTTTGTATTAGTATTTTGAGTTAGTGGCTGGAGCAGACCCATCAACAAAGTAGCGGATGTAGGTAAGACACGTGACCTAGGCAAACATTTGGACATCCATCCAGTGTGACTCATTCACAGATGCGACTGAGAAAATCCGGTAGTTTTTCAAAATAAAACATCATTCAAAATCAGATAATAAATAAAACGAAAATAATCTAAGTTATGCATTCTTTCAGTGTGGCCCGGTACCAATTCACCCGCGGTCCAGGGGTTGGGGACCACTGCATTAGAGTGTACATTATTCTTTTCCTAGGATATATTTATTTTAATATGTTACATTAACAGCATAACATACATTCAAGCACTTCTGAATGCATTGCTGTAAAAAGAAAGTTGTCCTAAAATGTAAATAAAATGATTTTCTATATTGGCATTTCTCTTTGATCCATATCGAGAAAATTATTAGCTTTATTTTGTTTTGTTATTTTACTAAAATGCAGGATATTATTACTCCCATTACAGCCACTGCGTACTAATGATTTTAAGAATAAAAAAAAAAAACATTATGAAATGCAACAGAGACTAAAACTTGGACACAACTGTCTCACCCAAAACAACAGGACGACAATGTAAATGTTTGAAGGTTAATGATAAGAAGAAACAGAAGAAACTGAGTGGTACTAATTTGTTCCTCCTCTGCCTCCAACCATAGACTTAGTAGAAGATCTCTGGGTTATGCTGCTGCCACTGCTGCTGCTGCTGCTGCTGTGGCGGCCTATATTATGATTAGGGCCGTCCAGTGCAGCTGCTCAGACGTCTCTCAGCGTCATCACAGTGTGCTGCCGACTGACCCAATTACAGCAGTCACATGAGGGAGAAGAGGCTGCAGTTAGCTCATTAGTCCCTGGAGTCTTTCTGCGGCTCTCTCCGTCTTCCTCTGCCTCCTCGTCTCCTGCTGTTTTATAATGTACAGTCAATTACTGAGTCATGTTTAATTCATTCACTTGTTTTTTTTTTTTTTTTCATGTGAACGTGGGACGGACCTTTCTAGACAGGCCTGTACTTCTCTACTTCTCTACTTCTCTAGACACGTTCAGCAGCAGCAGAGACAGATGATAATTATGTGGACAAACAACAACATCCCACAGTCTAATCAATAAGTGCATTTAACAGTTAAGTAAATTAAGGCTAATCATCTTCTAGAGTAGGTGGTGACCTGCCTGACTGGAAATTGTTAATTTATCTTTTTACATTTTAAAACCTGAATATTGCAAAAAAAGAGGAAGAAGAGAAAGTCTTGTTATTTTTAAAATAAAAAAATGCATTGAATTCAATTCAATGTTAAAACTTAAACAGGAAGGCTACTTATTATAAGTGACCCAGATATGTAGACATGTTTAAAGCAATCAACGTATTTGAACCTATGTAATGGAACCTCTGACTTCTAGAAATTTCTGGTTGTCATCAACATATCAAAGAAATAAACAAAAGAAATTAAATGTAACATTGCTGCTCAGACTGAGGTTGTTTGAATAATCTGATACCTGTTGGATTTAGGACTTGTTAGCCACACATGGGCAAAAATAATTTAAAAAAAAACACCTTTGCCCACTTATGCCAGTGTAAAGATAGTCTTGGGAAGAGTGCATCTGAACCAGTTTAGGTTCTTAGGAACTATTAAAATGGTATAAATGTCAAACTCTTAATGTTACAATAGAAGCTCCTGGCCAATGAAGGCAGAGATGGTCAGGCTGAAGACTCAGGGGCAGCTTATCTGAAGGAGGGGTTTTAAACATTAGGGATTTAAACAGGACATCTGACAGATTCTGGTGGTTGAGTTGCTCTTGGACTTTGGTGCAGGGAGCAGTTTTGGGGCAGCTGACAGTGACGCATGTCACACAGTCCTCGGTTTCCAAACAAATAAGACATTTCAATGGTGCAATAAGACAGCGGAGACATTATTAAGATAACACAGAGACGGCACAGACATGAGTGTCAGAGGTGACTCCAGAGACAGAGGGTGAGAAAAGACTGGGTTCAAGTGTCTGATAACAGAAGCTGTACACACCCCTGTACAAGTCTCTGTGGCGCAATCGGTTAGCGCGTTCGGCTGTTAACCGAAAGGTTGGTGGTTCAAGCCCACCCAGGGACGGATATGTTTTTGCTGCATATACAGGAGCTCCACTTTACCATAATGATTGACAGTAGCAGCTGCCCATGCTGCTTCCTCTGTATCTTATTCCACTCATCAGCACTGTCCGGTCACCCTGGTACTGAGCAGCAGTTCTGATGGACAACTCCTCATAATGTTTGGGCAGAACTTGAGAACCTGCAAATTACAAACAGAAAGCTTGTCAGTTTCATCAAAGTGCTGATCTTCTTGCTCTAAACAGCCCTCAGCCACTCAAAGGATAAATCCCAGATTTTCCCAACACTCAGTTAAAATTGATAGTGATACATCTTTAAGGAACCAAGACTGTCCTGTAGCCTACGTCTGTAGTTCTTCAGATGAGTGGAAGACTGAGACCACACACACACACAGCATGAAGGCACCATATAGTTACCAATACAAACCGTAGATTTATCCTGTTCTTACTCAGTTACTGTGTAAGCAGTGTTTGAACAGTAAAGAGCTTGATGATGTTGCATTGCATTTGTGATAATATCTTGAGCACAAAAACAGTCCTACCATCAGCCACCACACCTTTGATTTGTAACCACCAGGCCATGTCTACACACAAGCAGGACACTTAGGACAACACTGTCTCTGTTGGACCAAATGTTCCTGTTTTTCCCTTCTTCTTCTTTTGCTACTGACAGAACTTGGTAAACTGGAACAACAGCGCTTTAAAACTTCCAGATCCTTATTAGGCTCAGAGTTGACATGCTGACTCAGCAGAGTGTTTGTATGTGGGACCAGGGAGGTTTACTGTATGTTTAAGCGTGAAAAATTATATATATGTGTGTGTGTGTGTGTGTGTGTATTAGGAAGTTGTGTGGTGAATGCATTACTTCAAATGTGAAGATGTCGCTGGAATGATGGACACTGATGGCTGCGATAAACAGCTCCACACCGTCAGTACACAGTACTTTTGCATCTCATTTGCACGTATAAAGATTGTTAGGCCTGTGTACAAACTAAATTTACATTCATTCTCCTGGAGAGTAAAGAAATCACCATATGTAGCAGACTTGACCCCTCTGCATCTCCACTAAATGGACACTTCCCTGCAGCCTGATGCCCCCCCCCCCCCCCCCCCCCCCCCCCCCCCCCCCCCCTCCGCCTCTCTCTCGCTCTCTCTCCCAGTCTCCATGAAACACACTTCCACTTGCCTTTCCAGAAAGGCCAGTGTCAGCCGGTGCAGGTCATTGGCCCCTGGGCAAGTTCAATATTTATGGGAGGCTGCAGCATTTTACCATCTCTGCTTGACAAAAGTGATCAGCGTCTCAGCCACTCTGCTTGTCAAACCGGCAAGTCTGTACAACACTTCAGCTGCCATGGCTGCGAGCCCTGGAGGACGACACCTCAGGTTTTTACAAGGATAAATCACTGCAGCGGCCACCGTCTGGATGGATGGATGAATGGTAGATGGATGAATGCATGGATGAATGCTGTGAATTCTAACACAGCCTTTGCTCCTTTACACTAAAATTGAATTCTATGCCGACAGTGGCTGGAAGCTGGATTGTCTCAGGATTATTGCTGTGTTTCACTGTTCCTTAATCCCCCGTCTCACCAGCCAGTCACACACACAAAGAAAAGAATTAAAATGGGGTAAAATAATGAAAAAAGTATTAGTCCTAACAGAAAACACACAGTGTAATTAGACACAACACACTGCTGCTCTACATTTGTCTGGTTTGGTGTGGGTAATTAGGGGAAATGATATGAAATGATTATAGATATCACCAACCTGGTACATTAGGATTCACTAACAAAGACAGTTGTTGTTAGACAGAAAACTATTTTCAACAGCAAATATTACAGATTTTCTTAATTATACTGCCGCACTATCGTCATGCTGATGTTAAAATGACTGCTTTGATTATTGTTTGGAGTCACCTCAGCCCGTTTCAGCCAATCACTGTGGATCTGTACATCCAGACCTAGACTTCCTCTAGTTCCACTTTGATACCAGACGATCGTCTTTGGTTTACATTTGTAGCCCACATTCTAAATACACGGATATCATACTGTGAGCTACAAAAATGCATTTTATATCTCACTGCAGGTGGGCCAGTTTTTTACTGCAGTTGCTTTGGAATATCTAGTGTGAAACAGTGATACTACCCAGGCACACTGTTAGAGTATTTTCAATTTAAATGATCCAGTTCAAATGCAGCGGCTGAGACATTTGAACAATCTGTATCTGTGGTTAAGCTACAAAAAAGAGAAAGCCAGTTTTACGTCTTTACTGCATCCTTAACATACAGCTACAGTATGTACTGGTACACCAGTCACCCTACGTGCACTCCAACGCTTGGTTTAAATAAGCCACTGTGTTCTGCTTGGCCGTTCATATTTTCTGTGCTGAAGAACAAAACCAAAACAGTAAAGTGGGATTACAGCTTTTGGGTGGACTGTGTCTGCCAGAACAGTTTGAAGTCAGTTTTCTCAGCATTATGGCTTAAAACATGTTTGTTAGGTCACGCCGACCCTTGACCACAAAAATCTTAACCATTCTCGCAGTGATTCTGACTCAAAATCACTGCCAAATATGTGAGGTTTCCCCAAAGGTTTTCCCAGGACAAAGTGTTCACATGGCCAAAAATGTGTTTTACAAGATGACAATGACCTTAGACTATTACCTTGAATGACCTTTTCTGAAAGAATTGGATTTTCATGTCTGTGTTGCTGGATTTAAGAAAGAAAATCCCACAATGTATTACATATATGATATATTAAAGTGACCAATCATCCTGACCTTGAAACGGTTCTAGATATTTAGAAAATAATAACGTGTAATGATTTGGGTGAAACCTGACAATTGCATTGCTTTAGGTAAAAATGCCTGCTGAAGAAATATATTCAATTTGTCATACTTGCCACCTTCTTCCAATTAAATCTGATGTACCCTCATCAGAACAACCAAAAATTTGTCCAATTATTATTATTGAAATGAGAAAAACAACTGAACTAATTTGTTAAAATACCTCAGGTGTAAAAAGAGGAGCAAAACTCTGCAACAATAGAATTGTTGCACTTGGTCATCATCTGAAAAATCCATTACCTGTGTTGTTTCAATCACAGGTAAATCACATTTAGCACCAACTGTAACGTCCCTCTAGGTCACCCTCCAATCTGCTGCACACCAAAGAATTGGATTATCTGCCTCGTAGTTCAGGAGGTCATCACCGTGACCTGGGATGTGTAGGAGGTTTACAGTGGATGGAGATTCCTGACTCAAACTGCCAGGTCAGTGATCCTCCGTCAACAAAACTCACAGCAGTTCCTCGTGTGTGCATGGACGTGGGTTTGATTCCCATAACGGTAGGTCTGATTAGAGGTGGTTCCTCAGAGCAGGGTAGCACTGGTTTTGGAGTCAAAATTGTTTTCATATTGTCAGACTACAGCGGCTCGGTTCACTACAGAAGCCTGTGAGTGTTGAGTTTCATCTCCAAGATGTATACATGTTCAGCTTAACACTTCTCAAGGTCTGCAGGCAAAAACATCATCTTCTACTATGTCTCTGTACTAGCACCCACATCCATGATGCACCAGAAGTTCATGGACCTCACTGCATTAACCCTTCTCAGACCTGACATGGACCTGAAGTCATGCAGTTCTAGACCGGTCATCTGGACCCTGAGCTGTTGGAGGTGATGCAGGAGAGTGAAAAGGTCCAAGTCTGTAAATGTAAGGGTTGACTGCTGGAGGGGAAGGTGAAAGGTCAGGTTTACAGTCCAGTTTTTACATCAAATCCTGGGCATTATGTGAATCAATAATCTGCAGAGATGAGAAACAACAGGAACATCATTAAAGTGGCTTTAAATCCAGATGATAGCTCAAAAAATACAAACCTTTATTCTCAAAGACTTAGTAACGTGCACCAATGGGAAAGTTATTTTTAATTTACTTTTTTACTAATTGTTATTACTTAGGAAGTCGACAACAGGAGCCATGACCTGATGGTTGACTTCTAAGCCACATTATCTTCCAATAGTTCTTCCTGTGTCATGTGACTCCATTGTGGGAACACGGTGGTGTCTGACTGGAAGGTGGGCTGAACACAGCAGCGGTCTCTGACCTTCCTCTTCCTCACCGGGATTTCAGTTTTGACACCTGATGAACAGGAGATTGTAACAGTCCGTACAGTTTTACTCTGTTTCGTGTTGGGTTTTTCATCCAGCTGTGTGGTTCAGCTCCTCCAGGTGAGCAGGGCTCTGCCGCCTTGCACCTCACTGTCAGTTAAACACAGACAGACAAACTCGTGACTGACCACTGGGAGCACGCTTTGTCAGGATGACTCAGAGTTTCACTCTTGGGTGGCATTGGCTCGGAAAACTCACAAGGTCAAGGAAATTTCTTCACTAATTTCATGATTCAGTTTCACCCTCCCCTCCCCCTTCCTCCCCCTCCAGTAAAACTAAAGCAGACTTTGATGACTTGTTCACTCACTGCGCGGGCCAAACATTAGTCATGTCTCATTTATAGCCACAAAAACCTGTAAAGGATGGATGTAGTTTAGTTTTTTACGGTTTTCTGAATATAAGTGTAGGTGCCATTCTGTGGCGTGGTGTACAGTGGGGTGATTCAAGACACATCCTCGAGTCACCAAGTCACACAAAGAACAAAAAAAAAACTAGCAATAAATTGTGATTTTGCAGAAATGCATGTTGGGATTTTTTATATAGTATTTGAAGAGACAACCTCTCTGAAAAAGAAAAAAAGAGACACGATGATGAAATGTTGTGACAGCTCTGTGTCAGGTAGATGAGGCTGATTTTCATATCTTAGATTTTATCTAATGCAATTTGTTGTAAAAAGTTGGGCCACTCATATAGAAAGAAATTGTAAGTAAATGTAATTACAGGGTACATGAGTGAAGTGCAAGCAGAACTCTTCCATTTTGTCTACAAGACAGCAACATCCATTTTCTTGAAACGGTCTACAGTTCTCCAAGAATATATCCAGAATAAATTCATAATTAAGTCTTTCATTATTACTTACATGAGGCTATGACAAAAACTCACCACTAGATCTTTTGTTTTCTTAGCTCACAGATCAGCCTGCAGTGGCTCAACAGCTGTTGTTGTTCCTAGTGAGGCCAGATGAAGTGAACAAAAACAGAAAACACTCCAGTCTTTGAATGAACCACACAGGACCTG